TTTTTCTCTTCCAAAAGCAAGGATAATATACAGTTTATAAATATATATACATATATACATGTGTTAACATGTTTAGGTAATATGCTGATTATAGTACTATAACATATGGAGTGTCCATTTGAGACTAAATCTGGATCCTAATCATTTAAATTGGATTGTTCAAATTTTAGTTAAAATTAATCATATCCCTTGAAATTTATTGAAGTAAATCCAAATGATAAGTTAAGCAATAAACTATTATGAGGTGGATGTTAATAGATTATTATAAAAGTGATAGATTTTCAAAGGATGGAGTCTTAAGTGCTCCAATATCCAATTTAGTAAAATGTGAAAGCTCAAAGAGATCATGAATTATATTACCTCAACTATATATATATATATATATCTGTGTGTGTGTGTGTGTGTATATGTATATGTATATATGTATTACCCTACCTAGGTAATACACCAATTATAATATTATAGCATATAGACTATCCATTTGGGATTGAATCTAATCCATCTAGAAGGAAGGGTTTAAACCCCAATTAATATATTTATTCCTATATCCCAATGCTTTGATCAGTATTTAGGATTATATTTTTACTTTTATTCAAATATTCTTCCTTTCTTTTCTAAATATGTTATAAATTTTTGCCAAATCTAGAATTATAACTATCCAATATATTCTTCTTTTTGATCTTTATTGCATTCATAGTAGTCTTGCACCCATTTTTGGTGTGTTGCCATCTTTAACTTCTCATTTTTATTTTGGCACATCAGTCATTTGTGACTTTTATAATTCTCATCTTCATATGCAGTATTTATTTTGGCATATCAGCTATTTGTGACTCTTATGATTCTCATTCTCCATCCAATATTAAATTAAGTGTTTTATTTATCTTTATAAGCTCTTAAATGTAAACTTCCCAAAAGAGAGGTCACCCACCCAATACTACACAAACCCAGAGACACTTAACCCTTATCTCAAAACCCTTAATTGATTAGAAAAGGGGTGCATTATTGTTCATAGGCCCTTTTCTTTTATATTTAAATTTTTATAAATCATTTTTTGAGTTATTCCGTTTGGTTGCTTACATCTTCTATATACTAATTTAAATGTTAACATATGTATAAAGTTGAGAATCTTGCTTTTGTTTTATTGGTGGAGTTTTTGATTAGTTATAATGTTAAGTATTCCCTTATTCCAAGTGTTGAGTCACTTTTGCCAGAATTTTAAGTTGAGTGCATATCCCTAGTTGTAAATGTTACTAAAAGCCTTTATTTTACCATTGCTACTAAAAAATTTATTTGTTCTCTTGAGAGTGGGCTTTATTTTATAATAAAAGCTCCTCTATTCTCCAAGCTTTAGACATATTTCCTTATTATTATTTCCTCATTTTTGCTTTGTCAATTGTTGAAAAATCCAATTTCAATACTTCTTTATCCACAATTTATTCTCTCATAATGTTCCTTCCTCAAATTTTCCTATTCTTTACCTTGACTCGTCAAACCTTTTTTTCCTTTAAAGAAGTAGTTACAATAGTGGAGCAAGGATAAATCATATAGATTGTGGAATGGGGAGAAGTATAACAAGTTTAAATATAATATTCAACCCTGATATAGTGAGGTAAAATAGATATAATAGTGGAGTGAAGCTGAATATAAATGGTGGAGTGAAGATGAGTGTAGAGAATTTGAACAACATTGGTGCTTTAGAACTTTTTTTTTTTCAAGGAAGAAATGAAAAGGATATAAAGGATAAACAAAGTGAGTCTAACATCTTATATATAGTGTTAAAAAAAGACAAAGGTTATGAGTCCAAATTAATAATGGTCTTAGAGGATGGCTAGTGGGCAAACTAATAGATAGGATGTATCACTATTCTAATGATGTTTTGCAGACTATAGTGGCTTTTAAAGTCCCTTGATTTAGTTCAAAGTTATAGCTTTAAGATTGGGTTGAGTGTTTAGCAGTTCTATATAGAGTTGTAATTAGTTCATTAAGATTTTATAGTGAATTGATATTAATGACATGGCTTTTTTGTTTCTATTATAGTTGCTAGCAATTAAGTTAATGGTTTCGTGGGAGCTTCAAATTCTTGTAGCAATTTATAATTGCTTGGCAAAAGCTCTAGATATTTAATTTGACTTATTGTCATCAACTTTAAATTTCATCTTCTGGAGGGTCTATGTATACATATACATATATATATACATCTACATCTACATATACATACATACATACATACATATATATATATATATACATACATATATACACACATGTAATACCCTACCTAAATAATATGCTAATTATAGCATTATAGCATATAGACCCTTTATTGGGAGTGATTTTAGTCCATCCATTCATGAATAATTAATACAGCTGTTCCTATATACTAAGCAAAGCACAGTATATAACACTAACCTTCAATATAAAAATAATTAATTAAATAAGTAATAAAAATTAATAATTTAAAGAAAAATAATTTCTCTACCAATCAAAATATATTGTTGAATAATATTAGCAACTCATAATTTTTAATATATAAGAGTGGGATCTCCTTGATACACTTTAAGTGTATGATGTTAACAAAGTATAAATTCATTTGGAAAGTTTCAAATGCAATATATCTCAGCAACACAATCATGCACTAGAAAAATTTTAAAAACTTATAAAACTTTAAACATAAAAACAATCTTACTACCCATGATTTTGAGTTGGTATTTGATAATAAATAATTAAGGATATAATTAATCAAGGAGAGGTTAAGCCCCTCCAGAAAGCTCTTGGTTTGTTCAATTATTTTTAAGTTCCTGAAGGCTTTCATTTACAAGATTTTAAATTTTGAACATCATTCTATGCTGAACCAATACCTTCTAGCAGTTCAAGGTCTTTTTTTAATTTAATACACATAATATATTTTCTGTGTTCCAAATTAGCCAAAAAAAAAGGCTAAAAATTAATCTTGATAAAAATGCAGACGTTTAGATTTTAGCAGGAGGAGCCTAAGACAACTCGATCTCATCGTCCAAATGTATGGCATGGAAAGTGCGGAAGCAGAGCTCACCTTCTAATCCATCAAAGATCCCAATCTCTTCTCTCCATCTCGGTGGATCAAGCACGTGACGTGGTGCTGTGGAACACAATGCGGACTCGGGATATCATTGAGGCCATGAAAATTTTCCAGGAGATTCCTTCCAAGGATGCGGTATCGTGGAGCAAGATCGTCCAAGCGCACCTGGGGATCTGGGTAGTGTGCTGCCAATGCCACAACTAAGAAGCATCCTAGTGAGGACGTTTGGTCGTTATAGATCTTCCAAGAATCTCATCTTCTTGGTTGCAACGGAACTCAACCTTCCAAATCTTCCGGATAGATCTTCAAATTCTTTGCAAGATAAATTATTCATAAATGATACAAATTATAACAATGGATGAGAAAGGCCACGCAAAGTCTAGTGTAAATTAGAGGTGCTAGATTCCTAGGCCCTCTTTATAAACCCCACCCATTTCCGTCTCGACAGTGTCTCAGGTCAAGGATACTTCTTCATTGTTTCTCTCTTTCCATGGCGGCAACAATGCTGGCAATTCTCATCGCCATCTTCGTCTTTGCGTGCTCGCCACCCCCACTCGTCCTCGCTGCCGACGAGGACATGCTCCAGGACGTCTGTGTCGCGGACAACAACAGCACTATCATCATCAATGGCAAGGTATGCAAGCCCATGACAGCGGTGGTGGCCGAGGACTTCAAGTCGGGCTTGCTCAGGAACCTGGGCAACACCAGCAACAGGCTCGGCTCCGTAGTCACCGCTGCAAACGTTGGCAATTTCCCTGGACTCAACACTCTGGGCGTCTCTTTTGCGCGCCTTGACTACGCTCCCGGCGGTGTCAACCCCCCACACGTCCATCCACGGGGAACCGAGCTCCTCTTCCTCGTCCAGGGAACTCTGTTCGTGGGCTTTGTCACCACCGCACCGGATAACCGGCTCTTCGCGCAGACAATCAATCCCGGCGAGCTCTTCGTCTTCCCTCGAGGACTGGTTCACTTCCAGATCAACACTGGCAGAGAGCCCGCGGTGGCGGTGGCCGGGTTCAACTCGCAGAACCCCGGAGTCTCCCAGGTTGCCAAGGCCGTGCTTGGCTCGAACCCGCCTATCTTGGACGCCGTCATTGAGAGGATGTTCCAGATCGATAATGCTCTTGTGAAGAGGCTCCGGGAGCTCGTGAGCATGACGTAGAGCATCGTTTTCCATGGAATTTGTTGTTTCTTTTGATTAATAACTTCAAAGGTTTTGTTGATCTACTCGGTTTTGTGCTCAAGATCATTGGAGAATAGCTTCATCCATAGGGCATCCATATTCTCGAGGTGAATCTCTGACAGACGCGCTCGAAATACCATCCAGGAAGCTCAAGTTCAGGATCTGCCCAGAAAATGGCAGCATCTTTTAAATTAATCAATTTAAACCTAATGGGCTACTGTCAAAATAAATGTTCGATTCAACCTTTAATTTCATTGGCAAACTCTAGTACTCGCTGTTTTCCTTTTCAACCATTTGCTCTTAGCACTGCTCTTAGGAGAGATTGCGTCCGCCATCACCATTCCTTTGGGAGCATGGATCGAGCCTGTGAGCCTGACGCAGCTGGAACATGCTTTCCTCAAGCTTTTCCCTACGAAGATGTCGAGCTTTCCTTGTCTCAAGTCACAGTATCTGCCAGCCAAGTTTCCTGCTGCCTATGGTGAAAACACTTGGTGACGAGAGGTATCAGCCAGAAGTTGCAATATCAGAGATCAGCACTCATCCACTCTGCCTGTAGCTAAAACGCTTGCTTTGCACGACCCTGGCCGAGAAGAGTCACCAAAGTGTTGTGGTTAACAGCAATGGGAGCACAGCCTTGTCCTGACGTCTCCAGGTAGTTTTGGGCCTCTCCATCTTCCAGAGCCATAGTAGCTCAAGAACGTAGTGATCACCACCGCCAAAAGAGTTCTCAAGTTCCCTCATCGGGCGGAACAGCTCCAATGCATTAATGTTATAGGTGACTATATTCTTGAGCAACACCTTGAACTCGGCTTCTAGCATTTCCCTGACTCCTGTGATCCCAGCTCGCAAAGTAGAGCGACCAGAGCTTGCTGGATTTACATCCTTTGCCTCGTCCAACCGTCAAGGTGAGCAAATCATCTCTGCCCATGAGCTCTATATCTCCGGCGTGAGTGCTCGTTGGACACTTTGTATGGCAGGCCGCCCGAACGCGTACCTTGTTCTAAACAATGCAGCTTCTATCCTGAAAGAAAAGCCGATGAAAGAACAGTCGCTTGCACAGGTGTTTCATTACCACCTCCCCAAACTCAACACCTTCCATATTTTCCTGCTTAAGCGGTCGGTGTACTTGCACTGCCACCACCACCTTGTATACGGCAAGAATCGGTATCATTGCCATCCTCAGCTGGTCCAGAAGTTCAAATATCTGCGTCCTCAGATCGTTGCTGCCGCCAGTTTTTCCATCATCAAGGAGAAGCTAAATATCATCCTGAGCACCCTCGAGGTCTCGACAAAGTGGAGGTTGCAAACCACTGGTCATGCTCGAGAAATCTGTTGAAGGATCTGTTCCAGCTTCTGCATCACCCTGGAGTTTCTACTCGACTTTCCAAACTCCGTAAAACCCTGGAGTTGTGCCTCAATCCGGAAGCTATGGTGCCTCAAAACCTGTCCTCGCGGCCTCAAAACTAGCTCGCTCCTTTCCTTTCAAGAATTTGCTCGTAGCACTGCTCAGGAACCTGTTAGAAGAGATAGCCTCCACCGCAGAGTGCTATACACGAAGGTGACCACATTGTCGTAAGCTTCTGGAATCCTCCGTAGCAGGCACGTCGGCCGAGCACCTGGACTCCTTCATTGCCTCGTGAATCAGACGACGTTTCGAACGATCGAGCCTATGAGCCTGGCACAGCCTGCCTCCGAGCTTTTTTCCCTTACGAAGAAGTCGAGCTTTCCATGTCGAAGTCACAGTTTGGAGAAACTTCCGTCTCTGGCACCACGTCAAAGACTTCATACAAGTTTCCTGCCTATGATGGAAACAGTCGGTGACGAGAAGCTTTCAGCCAGAAGTTGCAATACCATACCAGCTTCAAGGAGAACTACGCCTCATCCACTCTGCCTTGGTCGAACAGAGCAAAACCGTGTAAATCTTGGAGAAAGCCTGTTTGAAAGCCTGACGGAACTAGAATAAGAGTACAGCCTTGTCCAGGTAGTTTGTATTCTTTGTCAACCTCGTTGTCTCCAGAGGACTCTTGGCCGAGAATTCGAACTGGATCGCCATCTTCCAAAGCCGGAACATTTCTCTCTGTAGCTGCCGAGAGCATGCCTGCCGAGCTGGAGTAGATACATCTGTGAGTTCTCAGGAATACCAGAGTTCCCGTCTTGCAGCAACTCTCTGGCCTGGCGATCCAGGCTCGCCTAGGAGCCACACATTTGCACATATCCAGAGTGGAAAAGCAACTTGCTGAAGTCTGGATCAACGCTCGTCATCCCTGAGACCCTCCGCCTCGTCCAGCCGCTCGTAGCTAAGTCAAACCAACTGTTTGTAGCAAGCCAGCTGCTTCACCTCCCGCAACTTGCTACCGTAAACTTCGTGTCGAAGGCAGCTCCAATACTTCCGGTGTTTCATTTGACCGTGATGATCCTTGAGGGAAAATAAAATTATGTCAGCTTCAATTTTCTGTCACGGTGACAGCGGCGAGAGCTTGCTGGATTTTGATCCTTTGCCTCACGGCTGTATGGGTGCTGCATACGCTGAAATGGCCTTGAAAATGCTAGCACACCTTTTGTTCACCACCACTTGTCATAATAATCGCCTTCTCAATTCCTGTTCAAGTGTATGTGTCAGTGACCGCTAAAAGGAGAAGAGAAAACAACAGAACAGAAAAAACACAATTACCGGTGGCACAAAACAATGGTGTCGCAATGTCGCCCATGAATGTCAAGGCATCTAGCAGTTCTGCTGCTGCATAAGGCGTCAAATCACCCTCGTTCTCTGAGCTCCCAGGTTGATGAGCTTCACGGATCTCCACAAAAACAGCACTATCTCCTTGCTTATCGCTCACCAATTCGGAAAAGTCGCTCCATCCTTCATCTATCGGGTGGCCTGCTCATTAAAATAGCACTGTTGTCTGACTGATCATCCAAGCTGACCGCTTCTTGTTTTTCTAGCTCAGGTAGAATGTTGTGACTTTCCCACTCATAGTTTTGCTGCTCGCTCGTGGCACTAAAAGGTGGAGCACCACGCCTTCGCAGCTCTTGTACCTGAGCTCGAAATTGGCCACCACGCAAAAGCCAAGCGTCTTTAAAGCCAGCGTATAGTCCCTGCATTCACATATTAGAATAAAGATCCAATAAACATTGAATGAAAATTAATAAATTCAAACGTACATGTAAATTGAAATATTTCCAGCCACCTTTTGACGCGTGAATAAGATTAATAAACATGTCAAAGACCTCCTGCTCAATTCAGAGCTAAAATCCACAAGGAATTTGGAAAAGTACTTACATCTGTATAAGCATCGTGATCATCAGGGAGTGTCGATTCCAAAGCACGAATGCTGCTATGCCACGGGAAAGTAAGCCCCGACACTGTCAAAACAGTTAAAATCAAAACAAAGGTAAAAAGAATGAGAAAAGCTTACTTGTCTTGAGCGTGATCTTGCTGATGTCGATGACACCAAACGAGAACACCCCTGCAAACCAATTCTCGTCAATTATCGTAAAGACGAAAATCTGAAGTGCAGCTTACGATATGGTTCATAAAGTGACGCTCGCTCGATCAGTGATGGATAAATCGGCGCCTGGAGCTCAACACAAGTCCCGGAGGAAAGAGCGCCACAAAACCGTAAAGAGCATTGAGGGCTTTCATCATCGTTGAGCAGCAGCCGAGCACCAAGGAACCAAGGAGCTTCTTGTTTTCCTCGCTCAGGCACAATGTCGCGATGTACTTCCCGCTCGCAGATTGCTGGAACTTCAAACCAAAACACTTGATAAGGATGATGCAAACAAAAACATAAACAGCTTACAGTTAGTAGTATTGTAATCTCCTTGGAAGTTGACGCAGACTAGCTTGATAAGCAGTGGGGTGTTTGGAGGCTGCGGAATAACTGCGTTGAGTTTGAGCACCGCCAACTCAAACAGTGATATATAACTCGGCACCTGGAGCTCCACACAAGTCCACGAGGAAAGATCACCAGAAAAGCGTGAACAGCATAGATTGTTGAGCAGCAGTCGAGCACCAGGCCGACCAGGAAGAGGAGCTTCCATGCCGCCGGTGATGCGAAGAACAGAACGAGCACCACTTGCCAGCTCCGGCAACGCAACCTATAGAAGCCAAGTGTTAAGTGTGGAGCCAGGAAAAGATAGACTTACATTTAGCGGAAAAGAGTATGCTGGACTCGGAACCACTGAGCCAAGGAATATGGAAAGTATTCTTACGCTAGAGTTGTAGGACTTCGAACCACATCCGGGAATTAAGCCGGGCTCACTAATCACCTGGAGCGTGAAGATTGCATTGCTCCGTGATCCCTTGATCATCACCGATTGACGCTGCAGAGGCATAAAGTCTTGGCCGTAGAGTTGTGAGACCGATATGTCTTGATTGAGGTCGAGGAATGTACACTTGGCTTCTCTTGTGTGCTTTACCAGCGTACGTGAAAACTGCATGGACAAAGAGATTAGAAAATGACTCCAAGTACACTGGAAAGACGAGAAAGCTTACCTCATTGGACCTGTTGAGCACACCATCGTCATAACTCTGCTGCTGAAGCAAGATCATGAGCAAACACTGTATAGCTGGGTAGCTGGCCATAACCAAGACAAGCCATGGCCATGCGTGACTCCTGGATTGAGCTTGCGATAAGGAGCTCAGAGACAACCTCCAAGCGCTTGAGAAACTGCATCAGGTGTGTGTTAGTGACAATATGAAAAGCAGAGTGGGCTTACTTCATTGTCAATCTCCAGCAGTAACTGCGGCTCAAAGCTCACGCTGGATGCAGTCGTTATGTCGTGATGGCTTTGCTCTTGCTGCAGCTGACCAGGCATGAAAGCCGGAGGGATCACAAAGTCGAGCATTGTCAAAGGCAAACGAACTTCCGAGGTGATTGGAGGCTGTGGAACAACGCTCCTTGGCAGCTCAGCTAGATCAGTGTCAAGGGACCCGCTGTGAACCGCTGGCACCATTCTTGAGCTCTGGAAGTCAAGAACAACACCTGGCATCATTCTCGAGTTCTGGTAGTCCAGAAGGTCTATGAAAAAAAAGGAAACAAATCAAAGTCAGCCAGGCCTTGGAAGATAAACAAGAAAACTTACATTCGTAGTCACTGATGCGAGGAGCATAGAAGATTGGGTTATTACTCGATGGTCGTACAGCAGGAGTCCGGCCAAAGTCAATATTCCGAATCCCGGACACTGTAAACAGAGGTTAGAAACAAGTGGAATAAAGGTAAACACCAAAACTAAACACCCCTTTATAAAAAAAATGGAAAATGCTTACTTGTCTTGAGCTTGAGCAAGTTGATGTCGATGCAACAAAACGAGCACTCCCTGCTGGGCTGCGCGAAAGCTGTGAGTGTGGATTGTCGTCGCTGCGCGAAAACTCGTCGTCCCTTTGGCTGCTGCGTGTTGCGCTTCCAGAACTTGAAAACGAGGAGCGAGAGCACCAAGAACGAGAGCATGCCCAGCACCACAACGCACAGCACTAGCAGCTCCCAAAAGGACGGAGCCGCGGCTACGACAACTACTCCTTGGTAGTACCTTGGATTCGCGATGCGCCTCGCCATTTCTCGCCCTCCTCCCGAAATGAAAGGTATATGCCAAGAACAAAATTAGGGTTTCCATTAGGGTCGGCTGTAAAAATATAACCCCCCCCCCTCCCCGTGTTAGACAAATAAGAAATACATCATAAAAAAACTCATATTATTAAAGAACAGAGTTTGCTAAATTTAGTAGTGTATACAAAGAAATAAATGTGGACAATTTTTTTCCTATTATTAAAACCTTAAAAGTTAACAAAATAGTGTTATTAAAGTAGAAAAGCTCTAAAAGATACACGTTTTTGTGTTCCAAATAAGCTAAAACTTAATATTGATAAGACCAAAAATGCAAGGAGCCCAAGCCGATTCATCGTCCAAATGTATTGCATGGAAAGTGTTGGCTGATGCAGAGCTCGCCTTCTAAGATCACAATCTCTTCTCTCTATCTCGGTGGATCAAGCACATGACGTGCTGCTGTGGAACACAATGCGGACTGGGGATATCGTTGAGGCGATGAAAATTTTCCAGGAGATTCCTTCCAAGGATGCGGTATCATGGAGCGAGATCGTCCATGCGCGCAGACGGGTAGTGCACTTCTAATGCCACAACGAAGAAGCATCCTAGTGAGGACGCTTGGTCGTTATAGATCTTCCAAGAATCTCACCTTCTTGGTTGCAACGGAACTCAGCCTTCCAAATCTTCCGGATAGATCTTGCAAGATAAAATTATCCATGAATCATAAATTATTGTCAATATGGTTATTACAACTTACAATAACACTGTATCGATGGATGAGAAAGGCCATGCAACTCTAGTGTAAATTAGAGGTGCTAGATCGTCCTAGACCCTCTTTATAAACCCCTCTCGGCAGTGTCTCAGGTCAAAGATAGTTCTTCATCGTTTCTCTCATTCCATGGCAGCAACAATGTTGGCAATTCTCATCGCCATCTTCGTCTTTGCATGCTCGCCACCCCCACTCGTCCTTGCTGCCGACGAGGACATGCTCCAGGACGTATGTGTCGCGGACAACAACAGCACTATCATCATCAATGGCAAGGTATGCAAGCCCATGGTAGCGGTGGTGGCCGAGGACTTCAAGTCGGGCTTGCTCAGGAACCCAGGCAACACCAGCAACAGGCTCGGCTCCGCAGTCACTGCTGCAAACGTTGGCAATTTCCCTGGACTCAACACTCTGGGCGTCTCGTTTGCCCGCCTCGACTACGCTCCCGGTGGTGTCAACCCCCCACACGTCCACCCCCGGGGCACCGAGCTCCTCTTCCTTGTCCAGGGAACTCTGTTCGTGGGCTTTGTCACCACCGCACCGGATAACCGGCTCTTCGCGCAGACAATCAATCCCGGCGAGCTCTTCGTCTTCCCTCGAGGACTGGTTCACTTCCAGATCAACACTGGCAGAGAGCCCGCGGTTGCGGTGGCCGGGTTCAACTCGCAGAACCCCGGAGTCTCCCAGGTTGCCAAGGCCGTGTTTGGATCGAACCCGCCTATCTTGGACGCCGTCATTGAGAGGACGTTCCAGATCGATAATGCTCTCGTGCAGAGGCTCCGGGAGCTCGTGAGCATGACGTAGAGCATCGTTTTCCATGGATTTTGTTGTTTCTTTTGATTAATAACTTCAAAGGTTTTGTTGAATGCGGTTTTAACTATTTGAAACCATGGATTTAATTTAAGAACAACCTTAAGAATATCCTTTTAGGTTTGAATTTGATAAATTACAACATCTGAAAATAGCTAAATTTAAGCATTTGAAATTTTGTCATTGACATAATAAAGTTTTCATGGTGGCACTTAAACATACTCTAATTAATTTTAATGTCACATTTCAAAATTAAATCAAAGAATAACCCGGTTTTCCTCAATCCAATGGCTTAAAATTAAGTAATGTTTAAACTTGATTTATTTGTAAATTCAGAATTAATCATAACTATGTAGTTTTTTACCTCAGCTTTAGCACTAATATATATTTATACTTATATGTATATTTGTGTCAGTACTAAAACTATTAATTATTATCATTAATGTTTTAAAATATTAAATTATATTTCAAAAAAAATAAAAACTCTATTATTATTATTGGAAACTCAAATAACATCATTAACTCATAATTTTAAATGTTTGAGGGCATATAAAGAAGTGGGATCTCCTTGATAAAATTATGACTATGAGTTAGTAATTAATAATATTATTTCAGAATATAGTTATTATATATGATTTAAAATAATTATATCGATTTAGCTAAATTATTAAGGATGTTCAATATTATTATTCTGGTTACCTGTGTGGTATAAAAATAGGCTAGGATATTCTAAGATATTCTACCATCTAATAGTTGATAATAATGTAGATTATTTCGTATTTATAATTTATAAACAAATGTATAATTATAACTATTCTGTTAAAGTTTTACATATAATGTAGCAAAACTTGCTTTTATTGAATTAAAATCAATTATAATATTAATGGAAACATTTTTAGAAATTACTTATATAATAATTTGAATAATAAATAACGTTTTACTATATAATATTAAATATAATTTTTATACACCAATAAAAACATTGGTAAAAACTATTATGTGTTAGGTTTATAACTCAAAAATATTGAAAACATGATTTATTTTAGTTTAAATGTCTACAACTAGTTAAATAGTTATATATAACTAGTAGTATTAATTAATTTAATAAAATAATCATAATTTAGAATATATAGAAATAAAGAGGTATTACAAGGAAAATATAAATTAGGATTGAAATCATAAATTATAAATTATATGTGTTTGTTAGCAGTTGGCAGTGGGCATGAAACTATGAGACACAAATCCCTAAGCCCCAAAGTAGAGCCGAAAATGTGCCATGTGGTAGTGGCCGAAGTGAAAGCCAAACGAGTATAACATATTTAGATTAAAAGCTCTGACTTGAAGAGTTGAGAGTGGGAGTGGAATTCCCAATGGAGTGCTCAATGAATGAGAATAAAGTAAGCAATAAAAAAGTCTTTAGAAAAGGGATACAAGAGGACCAAGATGGAGTTCAAAATAGACCCAAAATAATCTGAGAAGGACCCAAGATGGAGTTTAAGATGGACCTGAGATGGAGTCCGAGATAGACCCGAGATGGAGTCTAAGATGGAATCTAAGATGGACCTGAGATGGAGTCCAAGATGGACCCGAGATGGTGTCTGAGAAGGACCTGAGATGTAATATGAGATGGAGTCCAAGATGGAGTCTGAGATGGACCCGAGATGGAGTTTGAGATGGAGTCCGAAATGGACCCGAGATGGAGTTTGAGATGAAGTCCGAGTGAAACCGAGATCGAGACCAAGTCCGAGACCAAGACCAAGTCCAAAGCCGAGACAAAGACCAAGTCCAAGTCCGAGTCTAAATCTGAATACTAATATAGGCTATTGGGTGAAAGCCTAAAGCGATCGTCCCCTGGGGGGAGGGGAGCGGGGGGGTTGCAAGGGGTTCCAAAAGTATAGTAGGGAGAGTGTGAGGGTTAGACCTCAGTAGAGCTAGTTTGGCCCAGGAATGCTGTACCTAGGTATTGGGTGATGGGATAACTATAGGGAAGTCCAAGGCTATAGTGAATACAAATCGACAAGTGGGATAGTTTGGTGAAGTGTTCAAGAGCTAGCTTTAGTTCCCTCGGGAGATCAAATGGTCAATACTTCTAGTCCAAGCATGGGTGGCACTGTCTACTTGGATACCTGGCATGGCTCAACAGAACCTCGTTCGAAGCCCATGGCTAGAGCACCAAAAGGTGGAAGGTGGGGAGAGTACCTATGAGGCTCGAGTAGGGCCACGGTGTTCTGAAATGTTATTCCAAAGTTTTGGACTATGGAAAGGAAGAGGAGTAGTCCTCTGGTGTGGTGACCAAAGATACAGTCACATAGTGAGGAAGTCCTAGAGGACAGTGGGATTGGTGATCAGACCTGTGGGCCTTAATCTAGTGGTAGTGTTGGCGAACACGGCCATGGACAAAAAAGGACTTAGTGGAGACCAAAAAAGGGATATTGGGAAAGGTTATTCCCAATGTTTGTAGGCATCTTAAAGATGTTAAGGAGTGGATCTAGGATAATCACTCATGGACAGATGGCCTAATTGTTAACAAACATGACTATGATGTAGGTGGTGTTAGACTACTGATGTGACCAAGATGAATAGGCATGGCCTTAGCATAACAAGTTGATATGTTGGTGGTACCTTCATGGGATCAGACACGTGAAACACTTAGATCAAGTGCAAAGGTTGAGTGGCATAAATGTCATTCTCGGGGCTAACAACCCTTAAGTCTTGAATTGGACTTATGGATGTTGTGAATGAGACTCCTCCAAGTGGTCAGAAGTGTGGTTAAGTGACTAAAGTAGAATGAAAAAAATTAATTGCTTACAAAAATAAACTTTAAATTTGAGTGAAGTTTGGAAATTTCACCACAAATTCTAAAATGGTGCAAAATTTAAAATAAAATAAAATTTTCCTTAATAAAATTCATTATAAAACTAAGAATGGTGAACGATACTAAAATGGATTCATTAAAAAAAATCATGATGTATCTACTTTTAGCTCTATACCAAGATTAGAAAATATTGCTGAATTGTAGTGGCTTGTAAATTTTTTATTAATAATTATTTAAAAAATTTAATTTAAGTAATATAGCTTAGAAAGAGCAAAAATAAAATAATTTTTTAAAGTTTATAAATGTAAAACTTTATTTTGAATGAATTAATATCCTTACAGTAAATTTTATCTTTAAAAATAATTCATTATTATTAATATAGAGAATAAAAATTTATTACCTTAAATATAAAATTTGAGTATAATAAATATTTTATATATCCTGAGTATTTGAATAGGTTTAAATTTTAAATCAAACACAAAATTGTATTTACAAAGACATGTTTTATTTGAGAATGTATTTACTTTTTACTTTAGATTTTTTTAAATAAATAAAAGATTCAGGGTCTTGTGATTTAGGTTTGTAATTTGGTAATTTGATTGCAAAAGTGATTTGATTAAATAATTTCATTTACCTCTTTATATAAATTTTTATTAGAGCATTATTTTACTAAAGAGTTTAGTTCAGAGTGCATCAATTGGCTTTAACATAACTCTTGAATTTTTTTAAAAAATTTCCCCAACCAAAAGTCTTTGATATTATATTTAATATAATTAAGTTTGAGAAAAATAAATGTTTTATAAAGTGAGTTGATCTTTCATTGCATTTCAATTTGTATGTTTTCCAACTTACACCTAAGAGGTGTTATTAAAACTTAAGGATTATAATTCAAACTTAAAAATGCATTCTGATGTTCATAAATTTTTAGAAGGCTTAGAAATATGCTCTTCAAGAGTTTGTTTCATACACATTATGTTTACTACACTCAATTGATCTGCATTTCCAAACATAAAATTCACAAGAACTTACCATCACCAACAAGAATAAAGAAAAATACTCCAACAAAATGCTATCAATAATAATAGAGAAATACTTTAACAAGATGCATGTCTATGAAAATCTAAAACATCCACAAGCTTACTCATAGCCAACTTTGTAAGTCATGAAAGGGAAATGATGCATCAAACTTGAGACATATTAAACATGGGATAAACAAAGCATCAGGCTTGAAACTTGTTAAGCAATCATAGGGCTCAATTGTGTTTGGAAGAGTTTGATGATCCTCACCTGCTCCATAAAAATGCCCATCTGAGGTAAGTGCTTTGCTTCAAGATATTCAGCATAGACCTGCCTTCCTTTTCCTTGCTGCTAAACACAAGAAATAAATCTCAAGAGCATATTAGCATTACCCAAACAAAAATTGCCCATCCGAGGCAATTGCTGCAAGTCAGCTCGCCATCATGGGGAGAACCACGTTTATCCATGGAATTTTAATGCTATTTAACTCGCCTTATTTTTAAATTTTAGGGCTCCATTTCTAATCGCTATGGCGCCTGTGGCTGCTCTTCGTTTGCATCCCGGCGCCTTGATTCATGCCGCGGGAGCTGCCGCTCCATCAGTGAAGCCCGGCCGCGGCGCATTTGGAGCTGGGGAGCGCAAGTGCGGGAGGGTGTTCTCGCAGGGGCGGGATTCCGGGAATGGATACTTCAGGGCCAGGGCCGAGATCCAAAGCTCGGAATCGCTCACGGGTGTTGTGTTCCAGCCCTTTGCCGAGGTCCAGGAAGCCCTGTCGGAGGTCTCCTCGTCCAAATCGGTGTCGCTCGCGCGCCAGCGCTTCTCTCAAGCCTGTGAAGCTGCTATCAACGATCAAATCAAGTAAGCCTCTCTCTTTTTCGATTTCTATGGCGAGAGAGCTTTGATTTTCTCTTCTAGCGTTGAGTACAATGTCTCTTACATCTACCATGCGTTGTTTGCGTACTTCGATCGGGACAACGTTGGGCTTCCAGGCATGGCAAGGTACGTGTCCTATACAACTTTGTGGAATCCATCTTTTAGCAAAACTTTACAGGTACTTTAAGAATGCTAGTGAAGAGGAGAGGGAGCACGCAGAGACTTTGATGAAGTACCAGGTAACAAAGCTTGGAAATCGAAGAGCTTGCGCTAATGCTTTGTTTACTAGAATAGAACTTGCGAGGTGGAAGGGTGAAGCTACAAACAATACTACCGCCCGAGATGGAGTTTGACAACGCAGAGAAAGGAGATGCTCTATATGGTAGAATCGAGAAAACCCTCCAACACAAGTAACTCCAGTGATGTTTTTCTACTGCAGCTATGGAGCTCGCACTAGCTCTGGAAAAGCTCACGAACGAGAAACTTCTGGCCTTACACAGAGTATCGCCAAGCCCATCTCTCTCGACTTGTGATAGACCTTGATCCTTTGATCGTTTGAAGGTTGCAAGTGAGAATGACGACCCCCAAATGGCCGACTTCGTCGAGAGCAGCTTCCTCACCGAGCAAGTAAGTTTGTCTAGATTTTGCTCCAATCTCGATCGAAAACAATGGCTTCTCTTCCAGGTGGAGAGCATAAAAAAAATCTCGGAGTACGTGAGCCAGCTCCGAAGAACAGGCCAAGGACATGGTATGGATCAAAGCTTTTTATTTTCTCTCGAGTTACATTTGTTTTTTTTTATGTAGGGGTGTACCACTTGGATCTCCATCTCCAAAATGCCGACATAGAAGAGACAGTGTAGAAGAGGCGCATTAGTGATGACGTGGCACTATGATGACGTGAAAGGAATAAAACCGGAACCAAATTTCTAGGGTTAGGTTGTGGGAAGAGGAAGAAGATGAGTGGCCATATCGCGCAGGATTGGGAGCCCGTGGTGATCAGGAAGAAGGGGGTCGCTGCCGGGCAGCGGCGCGATGAGAAGGCCGTGAACGAGGCGCGTCGCAGTGGCGGCCCGATCGAGACGATTAAGAAGTGTAAGCGATTGGATTGCTCCAGAGATCGATTGGTGAGATATTTTGTTCTAATCTTCGTCGATTCCAGTCAATGCGGGGTCGAACAAGGCAGCGACAAGCACGCCGGGAATTAACACCAAGAAGCTCGATGACGAGACCGAGGAGCTCGCCCGTAAGCTAGAGAATCCAAATCCATTGGCTTTGTGTTCTAAAACCGGATGACGCAGACGAGCGCGTTCCGACTGACCTGAAGAAGAACATCATCCAAGCCCGGACGGAGAAGAAACTGACACAGGCACAGCTTGCACAGGTTTGGATGATTGATTCTTTGGTTGTGTCTTTTTGGCTGATTTGTTTTCCTTGTTGGTTTGCTTGGTCCAGCTGATCAACGAGAAGCCTCAGGTCATCCAAGAGTATGAATCTGGAAAAGCCATCCCCAACCAGCAGATAATCTCCAAGCTCGAGCGCGCGCTGGGAGCCAAGCTTAGAAACAAGAAGTGAGTAGTTTCTCTTATTTCCTCTTGTGAAAGTGTCGTAACTGTCGTCGTTGCGAACAAAACTATGCTTTTACAAACAACGTTTGGAGGCCCCCTTGTAAATTACATGGTGGTGGTCTGGCGCTGTACAAACGAAACTCTAGCAGCCGCAGAAACCAAGTCGAGAAGAAGAGATCTGCGCTACTGGTTTTCGGGAAGAAAGAATCGATCGAAGCTCTCGCAGCACGAAGACTTACAGGTGAAGTAGAAGATGGCACTGGGGATTGAATTAAACAGGTAGAGGAACGAGTACATGCCGATGAGCAGCGGCATCTCCCAGAGCTTGGAGGAGAGATCGATGGCATACTTGTAGCCGGGAACTCCGACGACGCGGTACTGGAAGAGGCTGTCGATCGAAGCGGTGGCGGCGGTGGCGATGATGAAGAGCAGCAGGCCGACTTGGGTCCGTCCCCGGAGTATGAGGATGGCCTTCATCAGCGCGGCCCGGCCCTGGATATCTTCCAGCATCGAGATGGTGATGGAGAGATTGGAGATGATCACCAGGTGGGCGAAGAGCAGCGAGAAGGCCAGGCAGATGGTGGCGACGATGAGGAAGAGTATGTCGACCGAGAGGCCGAGAGCTTGGAAGAAGGTGGTGACGACGAGGAGGAGGGAGAGGATGAGCGTGGTGCATGCGAGCATCACAGCGCAGATCCAGAGATAGGTGGCGATTGCGCGGAGGCAAACTTTGAGCGCCGCCGCGCGGAGGAAGCTATGGAGGTGGAACTTGCGCGAGGAGTAGAGGAGCGCCACTGCCCAGGAGATGGTGGCGCGTGCTGGGATGGCGAGGGTGATGTAGAAGGGGAGCTGGAAGGTGTGGGAGACGAGGTTGTCGACGAGCTTGAAGCAGGCGGCGCGGTAGGATGGGAGGAACCAGACGCCGCCGCGGGTGGCGAGGGCGCTGGCCTCGATCCGCGCGGCCCAATTCTCCACCACCGGGGACGTGATCCAGGCCTGGGAGAGCACGACGATGGAAAATGGCGTGGCGAGGAGCGCCGCGACCCAGAAGAAGAGCGAGGAGATTGCTCGCAGCGCTGCCACTGATTCCTTGATGATGTCCAGCGCGCCCAGGCAGTGGAATTCCTCGGGGCCGCGAGCGCCCATGATCCGGCGCTTGCTGGATGGAGCTGAGCTGGGCTTCACATTCTCGTGATCTTCATTGGAGGATGACCTAATTACCTCGTCGCTGGGCAGTCGATTATCCATTCGTTGGCGCTCCAGCGCGAGTGAGATCGCGACTGCCTACCGCGATTTCCACTGTTAACCTAGCTCCAGCCCAAGAACAGGGGACCTGTACGGCGGCAAGATTATTGCACGGAATTACGGTGAGAATATCGTACGGTTTCGAGAGAATGATTCCTGTACGGGTGATGACGCGGCAAAGCACCAAAACCAAGCAACCAACCAAAAATTTTGAGATAGCGTGGCGTTGAGATTTCTAAGGTTGACCGAGAAATACTTTTTAAAATGCTGTGATTGGAAATGTGGTCTACCAACCAGTGGCGGCCCGTGGCCCAAGAAGGAGCGCATCGTGCGGTCGCAAATGGGCCGTTCGAGCTCATCCCACGGCCCAGATCCGTGCGGTGATTTTTAATTTTTTCACCTACCCCGGCTTGCATTACCATTACCACAGTAGATGGAAAGCAAATATTTACCGCGGGTGTGGGGCATTTGTGTGTTGCTGTGCTTATTGCGCGCATATGCCCTTGCCTGCATTGCGCGGCTAGCGATAGTTCCAGCAGCGGCGGCAAAGAAGCGCGATCCTTGCCCTAGCGCGCATCCGCGGCGGCGGCACGCATCCAAGGCGCCGGCCAGCGACCGGGATCGACATCGAAATTCTCAGGTCAGGGCTTGGATCGTAGCTCCGGGGATGGATTCCGGGGGTTAGGGATTGCTGCTGGCTATGCGGCGGCTGTGCCGGCTTGGCGACACTGAGATCAATGGTGCGGAGCCACGGCTGGCAGCTGCCTGCGCACGGGTTTCAGGTAAATATGGCGCCGTGGAATTCGACCAACTGAGCGAGCTCTTTTTGCAGGTTGTGGCGATCACTGTGTTCTTCCTCCTCGTAGTCGCGTATTTCGTGTTTTTCGCGCCTTTCATTGGGCCCAATCCGTGGCAGTATATCGTAATTGGGTGTTACTCGATCTTGGTGAGTCTTTCTTCGCAATTTCTCACTCTTGGGATTTGTAAGCGCTCAATTTCGTTAAATTTTCAGGCACTTGTGGTGTTCTTTCTTTACGTCAGATGCACAGGAATCAATCCTGCAGACTCCGGAGTTTTTGTTGGCCAGAGATTTCCCGAGCAGAATGAGTTGAAAGGGCTGGTCTCGGAGTCATCCGGAAGTGTGGTTCACAGACATGGAGCGTCGGAAGTTCCCTCCGGTGTCGAGGGCAACAGAGAAAGAGGGCTGCTGTCAGTTTGCTGCGGCCTGATCTGTGGCTGCCTTGTTTTGCCGGATAACTGGTGGAAGCAAGAGACATTGCCTACGCAACTGGACGAAGATGTCCTTTACTGCACACTATGTAACGCAGAGGTTTGAGTTCTTTCCGTGAGTATGTCGACATTGATTTGATAAGTTTGGTTTATCTCACGCAGGTTCATAAGTTCAGCAAACATTGTCGAAGCTGTGATAAGTGTGTTGATGGATTCGATCACCATTGTCGTGTAAGTGTTCATTCAAGCAGATGTAATATTTTTGTACTAACAGTTTTGCTTTCAGTGGTTGAATAATTGCGTCGGTAAGAAGAACTATCCAAGTTTTGTAGCGCTTATGGCAGCAAGTCTTATCTTGGTATCGTGTATTTCTGTTTTGAAGGAAATATCCTGCTTCTAATCTACTTTTAGACGCGCGCAGCTTATTTTGCAGTGGGGATCGGGTATTGCTGTCCTTGTGCGGTGTTTTGTTCATGAGGAAGATACGAAAAGCCAGATTGTAACGAAACTTGGTAATGGATTTACGCGAGCGCCCTTTGCAGCAGTTGTGGTAAGCCGTCATGGTTTATTTCGTCTATCAACAAAGTCAATGTTTGCCTTGCTAGGCAACGTGTACTCTGGTTTCTGTACTAGCGTCAGTTCCCCTCGGCGAGCTTTTCTTTTTCCACGTTATACTCATGAGAAAGGTGTGTTGTGCGCGCAATCTGGTTCAGTGCTTAGTGTTTTATCTTTGTCCAGGGAATTACAACATATGAATACGTCGTAGCGATGAGAGCGCAAAACGAGCAACAAGGGCCATCCGTGGAAGGAGAAGCACTAAGTGCTCCATCATCACCAGGAAGTTCAACCGCGACTGGGATAACGGGCTCCAGCTCCCTGGGACTTCAATACAGGGGTGCCTGGTGTACGCCGCCAAGAGTCTTCATTGATCACCAGGTACGTTTATCTGCTGTCGTGCGCTGTCGTTTATTCCATTTTTTCTCCTTGTTTTGATTTAGGACGAAGTTATTCCACATCTAGAGCCAGGAAGAGTACCGTCAACCGTTGATCCTGATTCTGTTCCGAAGCTAGACAAGAAGTCTCAGAAACCACAAGTGAGGATAAGTGCATGGAAGCTGGCAAAGCTGAATCCAACTGAAGCTGCCAAGGCCGCAGCAAAAGCCAGGGAAACCTCGTCGGTTATAAAGCAGATACCAGGCAAAGGGGTAGAGATGGACTACAGTTCAAGTGATGTAGGCAGCAGCAGAAGCAGTGCCAGTACCGACTTTGCTACAATGCGTGGGAAAAGAGCTGACGAGGGGCGGTTTTCGGCCTCGAAACTTGTCGTGCCGCGCCCAAGAGAGGAGTACAATATCCACTTCGATTCGGGAGACAACGTGACCTCGAGCAGAAGCAGCATCAGCAGTCCCAGGCATGTCTTGAACGACTCGGACGGATTGAGTCCTCTACCTTCGAAGCCGAACTATGCTCCAACCGGCACACTGCGCCTGTCAACTCCTCGCTCACTCGGATCAACACAAGAATCTACGGTTCGTACCTCCAACCTGAGACCCTTCACTCGTCCTCAGCGGTACACACTTTGGGGGGCTGGGAAATATGGTGGGAATGATTCTTCGAGCCTGGATAGCTTAGAGGACAGGGCGTCGGGATTCCTGGGTAGACCAAAGGGTGGTGACGGGAAGGCGAGTCCGGGGAAGAAGAACTCCGTGTTCTCTTACATCAGGCAGGCATGGCCGGAGGTATCGGTTCCTGCCTCGTCCTACGATATAGAAAGCGGGCAAAGAACAGCACGCCCAGCGTTCGTCCCAGCCACAGAGAGCACGTCAAACCTTCCAAGCACAATGCGAAAGGCTCAAGACGCTCCTCTCCGGAAGGCTGACGACCTCTTGTACCCGGAGAACAGCATTTTCTTCGGTGGACCTCTTCACGTCCCGGGCACAGGGAAGCCGAGCCCTCAGCAGCATCAGCAGCAGCAGCAGCAGGAGCAACAACAGCATCAAACGACGCGTTTCAATGCTGCTCCCAGATCGGCCACCGAGTCGGCAGTTTTCCAGTCGGGTAGGCAGCCTTTTCGGGGATCAGCAGCTCGATCGTATTCTCCAGTTTTTGCCCCTCGGTTTTTCAATCCGGGAGGTGGAGGCTATCCTCCGGCAACTTAATGGGTTCTTTGCGGCAGGGGGGACTTTTGAGTTTGGGGAGTTTTCGGGATTTTTTTTAAGGCAAGTGTTTTGCTCTCGTTGATTAGATTCCTCGTTGTGTGATTCGAGTAGCTGCTAGATAGTTTAGGACGAGATGATGGGAACTGACGAACTGCTTGATTTGTTTTTGCTTTTTCTTTGCAGGTGTCTGATGGCCCTCGTGAAGACGACGTTCTTTTCACATTCTCGCAGTTATATGAGATGTTCAAATGACGTGTAGGGAGTTCTAGATGACTCAGGTCTGTGTACATTTCATTCATGCAACGAACTAAATTGATAGTGGAACTTTTCCACGCTTTTATTATCACTAATTTGATAGTGGAACTTTTCCAAGCTTTTATAACGGTTTTTCGAGCAGGTAAAGCTCGGCTATGGAGTTCCAGACTTGAATGGATTCTTTGGGAATACTTCCGATGGATTTGCTTGGAGCTCCATAGCTGGATATTTGTAAAGAGCATCTCTCGCAAAAAAAATTTATCCGGTTTATATTTTTAAGGCCGACCCTAATGGGAACCCTAATTTTATTCTTGGCATATACCTTTCATTTCGGGAGGATGGCGAGAAATGGCGAGGCGCATCGCGAATCCAAGGTACTACCAAGGAGTAGTTGTCGTAGCCGCGGCTCCGTCCTTTTGGGAGCTGCTAGTGCTGTGGGTTGTGGTGCTGGGCATGCTCTCGTTCTTGGTGCTCTCGCTGCTCGTTTTCAACTTCTGGAAGCGCAACACTCAGCAGCCAAAGGGACGACGAGTTTTCGCGCAGCGACGACAATCCACACTCACAGCTTTCGCGCAGCCCAGCAGGGGGTGCTCATTTTGCTGCATCGACATCAACTTGCTCAAGCTCAAGACAAGTAAGCATTTTCCAATTTTTTTTATGAAAGGGGTGTTTAGTTTTGGTGTTTACCTTTATTCCACTTGTTTCTAACCTCTGTTTACAGTGTCCGGGATTCGGAATATTGACTTTGGCCGGACTTCTGCTGTACGACCATCGAGTAATAACCCAATCTTCTATGCTCCTCGAATGTAAGTTCTCCTGTTTATCTTCCAAGGCCTGGCTGACTTTGATTTGTTTCTTCTCTTTTTTTTTCATAGACCTTCTTGACTACCAGAACTCGAGAATGATCCCAGGTGTTGTTCTTGACTTCCAGAGCTCAAGAATGGTGCCAGAGGTTCATAGCGGCTCCCTTGACACTGATCTAGCTGAGCTGCCACGGAGCGTTGTTCCACAGCCTCCAATCACCTCGGAAGTTCGTTTGCCTTTGACAATGCTCAACTTTGCGACCCCTCCGGCTTTCATGCCTGGTCAGCTGCAGCAAGAGCAAAGCCATCACGACATAACGACTGCATCCAGCGTGAGCTTTGAGCCGCAGTTACTGCTGGAGAGTGACAATGAAGTAAGCCCACTCTGCTTTTCATATTGTCACTAACACACACCTGATGCAGTTTCTCAAGCGCTTGGAGGTTGTCTCTGAGCTCCTTATCGCAAGCTCAATCCAGGAGTCACGCATGGCCATGGCTTGTGTTGGTTATGGCCAGCTACAGTGTTTGCTCATGATCTTGCTTCAGCAGCAGAGTCATGACGATGGTGTGCTCAACACGTCCAATGAGGTAAGCTTTCTCGTCTTTCCAGTCTACTTGGAGTCATTTTCTAATATCTTTGTCCATGCAGTTTTCACGTACGCTGGTAAAGCACACAAGAGAAGCCAAGTGTACATTCCTCGACCTCAATCAAGACATATCGGTCTCACAACTCTACGGCCAAGACTTTATGCCTCTGCAGCGTCAATCAGTGATCATCAAGGGATCACGGGGCAATGCAATCTTCACGCTCCAGGTGATTAGTGCGCTCGGCTTAATTCCCGGATGTGGTTCGGAGTCCTACAACTCTAGCGTAAGAATACTTTCCATATTCCTTGGCTCAGTGGTTCCGAGTCCACTAAATGTAAGTAGATCTTTTCCTGGCTCCACACTTAACACTTGGCTTCTATCGTTGCCGGAGCTGGCAAGTGGTGCTCGTTCTGTTCTTCGCATCACCGGCGGCATGGAAGCCCCTCTTCCTGGTCGGCTTGGTGCTCGACTGCTGCTCAACAATCTATGCTGTTCACGCTTTTCTGGTGATCTTTCCTTGTGGACTTGTGTGGAGCTCCAGGTGCCGAGTTATCCATCACTGTTTGAGTTGGCGGTGCTCAAACTCAACACAGTTATTCCGCAGCCTCCAATCACCCCACTGCTTATCAAGCTAGTCTGCGTCAACTTTCAAGGAGGTTACAATACTAACAGTAAGCTGCTTATGTTTTTGTTTGCATCATCCTTATCAAGTGTTTTGGTTTGAAGTTCCAGCAATCTGCGAGCGGGGAAGTACATCGCGACATTGTGCCTGAGCGAGGAAAACAGAAAGCTCCTTGGTTCCTTGGTGTTCGGCTGCTGCTCAACAATGATGAAAGCCCTCCATGCTCTTTACGATTTTGTGGCGCTCTTTTCTCCGGAACTTGTGTTGAGCTCCAGGCGCCGACTTATCCATCACTAATCGAGCGAGCGTCACTTTATGAACCATATCGTAAGCTGCACTTCAGATTTTCGTTCTTTACGATACTTGACGACAATTGGTTTACACACTCAGCGTCTTGGACGTTCTGGACGCGATTTCATACTGGCAAACCCCAGCATTTGCTGGTTATCGGGGAGCGGAGAGTCACACAGATGTTTGGGCCCCGGAGGGAGTGCTCGTTTTGTGTCATCGACATCAGCAAGATCACGCTCAAGACAAGTAAGTTTTTTCATTCTTTTTTATAAAATCATGCCCCTTAGTTTTGTTTTTTACTGTTTTGACAGTGTCGGGGCTTACTTTCCCGTGGCATCGTGCGTTGGAATCAACACTGCCTGATGATCACAATGCTTATACAGATGTAAGTACTCTTCCAAATTCCTTGTGGATTTTAGCTCTGAATTTATGTGTTGATTGAGCAGGAGGTCTTTGACATGTTTATTAATCTTATTCACGCGTCAAAAGGTGGCTGGAAATATTCTAATTTACATGTACGTTTGAATTCAATTTTCATTCGATGCTTTTTGGATCTTTTATATTAATTTGCGAATGCAGGAACTATATGCTGGCTTTAAAGACGCTTGGCTTTTGCGTGGTGGCCAATTTCGGGCTCAGGGACAAGAGCTGCTAAGGCGTGGTGCTCCGCCTTTTGTAAACTATGAGTGGGAAAGTCACAACATTCTATCTGAGCTAGAAAAACAAGAAGCGGACAGCTTGGATGATCAGTCAGACGACGGTGCTGTTTTGCCACCATCCATCCATCAACTTGGAAGCTCTTGCAACTTCTTGGAGGTGATACCGATTGCGGCGGATTGCTCCTTCGAGGATTTGGACCTCCAAGTTCGTGGTTCAAGACGATCCTGTAGCTCCCACGTAAGTATTCTTTCCGTTTCTCATGGATGTTATACCTGAATATAAGTTATGCAGTTTTCGGATGCCATCTTCAAAGACGCAGGAGGAGATTTGATGGGGCACGAGCCAGCTGGAGACCTGGAGAATGGCTGGGAGGAATTTCCGAGCTGCCGATGGAGCGACTTTTCCGAATTGGTGAGCGATGAGCAAGGAGATAGTGCTGTTTGTGGAGATCCGTGAAGCTGATCAACCTGGGAGCTCAGAGAACGAGGGTGATTTGACGCGTTATGCAGCAGCAGAACTGCTAGATGCAGTACCAGCGACAATGTTAACAACCTTGACATTCATGGGCGACATTGCGACACCATTGTTTTGTGCCACTTTCTCTTCTCCTTTCAGCAGCCACTGACACGAACACTTGAACAGGTATAGAGAAGGCGATAAGTGGTGCTATCAGAATAAAACAGAAGGTGTGCTAGCCATTTTCAGCGTATGCAGCACCTATACAGCGGCAGAGACGATTTTGGCAGCTTGATGGTTGAACGAGGCAAAGGATCTGAATCCAGCGAGCTCTCAGCGCTCTCACTTTCACAGATAATTGAAGTTGACACGATGACGATCAGTATGGAGGCACAATTCTATTTTCGTCACGCTGGGGTCCAGATGGAGCGGCTCTTGAAGAAGAAGAAGATAATGTAATCTATAAAGTGGGCAACAACACCAAAGCATCTTCTGCTTGGAGTTACGCGCGGCTGGACGAGGCTCAGGTGGCTCTCGGAAGTTTTAGAATGCCCGCCTCAGGGAGGGATGACGAGCGTTGATCCAGACTCCAGCAAGTTGGCTTTTTCCACACAATTGTGCAACAGCAGGGATTGCAAGCTGGTATTTATGAGAACTCAATACTTGCATTTCTTGCTAAGACCGAAGGAAACGTCCGAACCAAAACACAAGGCAAATGCTGCAAGACGCCATGTAGTCGCCAGCTGAGGCATACACATCTAAGAAACGGCCTGGTTTGATTCATCTCCTCCTGCAAGAGACACATTTAGTCCCGAGCTCCATCTTCGATCCGCGGGCCACAACGAAGAAGAATCCTCCCTAAAGACAGCGCCTTGAACCAGAGCGTACCAAATCCATGCTCCGCAATACGCCGGGCTGCCCATTAAGACTTGCAAGAGCCTAGTTTTGCAAGTAACCATGAGATTCTCTTTAGCTCCAAGAAAAACGCGACTCGTCCTTAGCCCTGTGTTTTCCCTTCCCTGATAGTTTGTGCATAAAACACGCTCGTTTTATATTTTCCAGGAATGCGAAAATCTCCCGCAACTAATTACCTGTAAGTAAGAGCCAATTCCGTAACCTACCTGGAAGTAAGAGCGAAAACTCCGTGTCGCTTTGTTCATCTTCCAGTTCTTTCCCAAGCCCCATGCATCGATGGCATGCAACTCTAGAGGTGCTAGATCGTCCCAGAACCTCTTTATAAACGCCACCCCATTTCTCTCTCCGACAGTGCCTTAGGTCAAGGGTAGTTCTTCATCGTTTCTCTCATTCCATGGCAGCAACAATGCTGGCAATTCTCATCTCCATCTTTGTCTTTGCGTGCTCGCCACCCCCACTCGTCCTTGCTGCTGACGAGGACATGCTCCAGGACGTTTGCGTCGCAGACAACAACAGCACTATCATCATCAATGGCAAGGTGTGCAAGCCCATGGCAGCGGTGGTGGCCGAGGACTTCAAGTCGGGCGTGCTCAGGAACCCGGGCAACACCAGCAACAGGCTGGGCTCCGCCGTCACCGCTGCAAACGTTGGCAATTTCCCTGGGCTCAACACTCTGGGCGTCTCGTTTGCACGCCTCGACTTCGCCCCCGGCGGTGTCAACCCCCCACACGTCCACCCCCGGGGCACCGAGCTCCTCTTCCTCGTCCAGGGAGCTCTCTACG